AGATCTTTGTTAGAATTATAATATTCACCACTAAGATAGTGACCAATCATGTAGAAATTATAATATATTATATACTCTGCTTCCTAGAAACCATTCAAACTTTTTGTTTTGAACATATAAATATAGCATTTCCATGTCCAAATTAGAACTCAATACAAACCTCTTAATTGTTTTTCTCTTTCTTATACTTTCTTTCTTTTTCTACAACCCTTAACTAGATATAATCTTAATCCTTCTTGATGGGTTTGTCTCGTAAATTACATTCCTTCAACTTTGAACTTAGAATAATACAAGCCCAAAATATTGATTCCATAAAGTTATCTACAAGAAATTTTATATTTTCTAGGTTTTATCTTCCTACAGGAAATAATAACAAAAGAATTCAACTTAACACCAAGAAAGTTTCCTCCAAATCTATAATTGCATTTTGGAAGAGAATTCTTGAAAACCCTTACCCAAGAAAGCATGGTGTTGGAGCAAAGGCAAAGTAACAAAGACCTAAAGAGGGGATTCAACTACATATATCTATGGATATTCGATGCATATAATGGACGAATTCAAATTTATCCATTACTAAAGTTATCAATTGGATTATAATCATTTAAATCTATTAGCTCTAATGAATTTATATGGATGAATTAAATTTTCTTATATTTGGATGATTGTGGATAATTGTGTCTCCTTTAGTTATAATTGCTCTTTAATTCATTATGTTTTTTTGTGTCACTAACCCGTTTTTTCACAACCATAATTCAACCACAAAATTTTCAGACAGTAAATGATTCCTAGACGTTTCTTGATCAAGATCCACCTTGTTGATTTTGTGCCGTTCATACTTAAATCAAGAATACATAAATATTTTTTTATTCTTATATTTTGAATTACACTATAAAACAACATATAAACTACCTTTAATTGCAAAATAACATCACTTAAAATTGACATTCAACAATAATTTTGGATACATTGTCTATATAAGCCTAGTAAAATATAGATCGTTTTAAAACATATCATGCTACCTTGTTAAGTTCCTTAATATTCTTTTGCACCCTTAGTTTCTCAATTTACATCAATTAAACATCTTGTTTCTCATCATGATAGTGTAGTCGGATTCAAACAACTGTGGTAGTTAAAAATCTCTTTCAAATGGATTCTTCAATTTCATAAAAAAATATTAATCCAAATAATAATTTGTAGCAGAAATATGAATGGACCTATAAATCCATCCAATTATTTATTCCTTATTAATAAAGATATCAATGGTATTTGTCACAAGAGTCATACTTTTGGGTTTCAGGAATGAACATACATGGATGATCTCTAGTTATGCTCCACTTGCAATCGGGCTTGCAAATACGTTCATCTCTACGCTGATCATAGATGTCAAACCAGTGTAAATTTGAATCCCATGTGAAGCCACAGAAATATAATGTAGTCGGCCAAAAGTTAGGCTTAAATTGAAACTTAAATTCTTCATCATATTTGAGAACTTGAACACCAAGGTCAACATCTTTCGATTTGCAGTGAACAGTCAAAGGAGTACCTTTGTCCAAACCATTCTTGATGTAAATATGTGTGTATTGCCCCCACCATCCGTCACTTTCCGCCACAAAAGAGGCAATTGAAATCAATGAGAATAGGAAAACATGTGTGCTTGATTGTGCCATCAATTTTACTTCTCAATATTTGTGTTGTTTTATAAATATTATATAACTATTTATATAGAGTTGATATTTTCAGATTTCATAATCAAAAGTAAAAAGTATTTTAGTAATAAATACAATTTATTCATTAATTATTTAATTTTTATCGTTTGATTGCTTTTCAATAGAAAATCTTCAAATATTTATAAAAAATCTTTAAATATATGCATATTAAATACTAAATAAGATATATAAATATATACTTTTAATTTATAATATTAGCATTGATGAATAAAACTAACTATAACAAAAGATAATTTTTAATATAATTTATTTTTAAATAATTAAATATTTTTTCCAACAAAAATGCAAGATGGCCATGAAAGTAGTTCTCGAGAAGGAATCAAAGTTGTTACTACAAATGAATGGTCTCTTTATATAAAATCCACCGTCAAACATAAAGAGCCACCATCTTTATACGTTGAAATAATTAAATTATTTTTAATTTTTTCAATATTTCCACAGCTTTATTTTTTGAATAAGATTAAATGCTAGTTATTATTACGATTATCCAGAAAGATAACACTCCAAATATCATATCTCCATATATTATAGGAAAATATATGAGATAATCTCAACATAAATAATTCATCCATGATCAAAAGCAGAACAACCATAATCTTATTTATTATGAGCTTTCTATATATCTTTTTAATTTAGTCACGTTTTAGCTGATTTGCAAATCTTCCCTTGCAACTTGTGAGACTTATTTTATAAAATCAATCCTTTTGAGATTTTGAATTAGCTTTGTTTGGTAACATACAATCTTCACCATATACATGATATGTATGTGATTTGAGATCTTTGTTAGAGTTATCATATTCACCACTAAACTAGTGACCAAGCATGTAGAATATATTATATACTCAGCTTCCTAGAAATAGAAACCATTCAAACTTTTTGTTTTGAACATATAAAATAGCATTTCCATGTCCAAATTAGAACTCAATACAAAACTCTTACTATAATTGTTTCTCTCTCTTATTCTTTCTTTTTCTACAACACATAACTAGATAAAAACCTAATCCTTCTTGATGGGTTTGTCTCATAAATTACCTTCCTTCAGTTTTGAACTTACAATAATACAAGCCCAAAATATTGATTCCATAATGTTATCTAGAGAGAATTCATTATTTTCTAGGTTTTATCTTCGTATAGGAAATAATAACAAAAAAATTCAATTCAACACCAAAAAAGTTTCCTCCAAATCTATAATTCCTTTTTAGAATGAGTCATTCAATCTTGAATGTTCATGTCCTCAAGAATTCTTGAAACCCTTACCCAATAAAGCATGGTGTTGGAGCTAAGGCAAAGTAACAAATACCTAAGGAGGATTTTGGGTTCAAACCTTGTCGGAAAGGGTGAGATTCCACGGAAGGCAATTATTGAGTCACCAAACATGGTTTTTAAAGAATGGGTGAAGATAGATTTTGTAACGACCCAATTTTAATCTTATAGATTCACATGATTTGTTATACAACACAATTATTCGAATTATGATGACCTTGTATTTAAATTAACATTTCCCGAATAGTCCATTTATGAATCATAGGATCTTTCCATAAATACTCTTTGAGTTTACCATTATCGGTCATTAAATTCAAAATATATTAATATCTAATAACGATAATGGTACCACTACTACAAAATTAACATACATCAAATTTGTCAACTGTGAAGTCTATTAATGGTTTATCAATCCTACAAGTTCTTATGGTTATACATCATAAATTCCACAACAACATATTACATACAAAACAATATGATCCACAATACACGACAACCTCGATCTACTATCCTTTTGCTTTTCCTGCAATCCAATTATCATAAGTAGAAAGAACACAAACACAAAGGGAGTAAGACATTTAATCTTGTAATAATCAGCATCATAAATTGATACTTAATCATAGACAACAAAATTATGGAAATATATAAGCTAAGAGTTGATTCCATGCAGAAAGAGGTGAAGATGTTAAATAAGTGGGATGAATATGGTTGCAAAAATTGCCATGATTATCATCCATGGCTAAGTAAAGAAGATTATGACATTTTTGCTCTTGGTGCAAGTTTGGAGGCCTTTTGAATTTTGACTTAGTGGTGGATGCACTAACATTAGTTAATTGTTTGTTTTCCACTCTAGCATATGCAACTTCTATTTCATGATTGTTGATTGATTATTTTTTAAATGGTAAAGTAAATAATTTCTTCAACTTTTGTATAACTGTGATGGCCCATTTTATTGAGATTACACAATACTTTATGTTGAAAATTTTGTTATCTATGTTTAAGAATGATTTTAGGACTGAATATGAGAGGAGATGTTATACAATATTAAAATTCAACAAATAAATAAACTTGGTGTTATGCCACTCTTAAAAATGTCCCCAGTGGTATTTATTATGCCTCTCTTAAAAATGTCCCAAAGTTATATAATGTGATGCCTCACTTAAAAATGTCACCACTGACGTCGCCAACTTTCATGTCCCGATTTCCGGCTAAGTGACCTCTTAGGAGTTGTCAATACATTTTTTTGCAGTTAAAATATAGAAAACTCTATTTAACCCCAAATTGTATAAAAAGGTATTTGAGTTAGAGATTTTGAGCTCGGAAATCGATTACGAATTGTGGAATGTTTTAGCACCTCGTCTGCTGATAATAAAATAGTACCCTATATAATTGTATGAATTAAATACCATTGATTTATTAAAAGTAAATTATTAAAAAATATTTAATTTTTACTTTTGTGTCTGACAAGAATTAATATTGCTAATATGTATCCTTATATGCATTACAGAATCATGACTATGTAGTTCTAGGTTTTAAAATGAATTAGTAATAGATATGTTTGATACAAAAATTGGTTGATTTATATTTATCCACTTTATGAAGAGTGAAACATTAGAAACTAACACCAGCACCACATACCTTCTTAAAGAGATTTAAAAATATTAAAAATTTGTGCCCTTTAGGAGGGGCATAACATTAGAAGCTAATGTCTGCATCTCATCTCAAAGAGTTTTTTAAAAAATATTAATAATTATTGTGCGCTTCAAGAAGAATGAAACAACATAAGCTAATGTGCACAGTGTATCTCATCTTAAAGAGATATAAAAAATAGTAAAAGATTATCCTCCTCAAAAAGGGTAATGTAGCATAAACTAATATTCGTGTCGTATCCCATCTTAAATAGATATTTAAAAAATAATTATAATACTTTTATTTAAAATAAAACTCTTATTTAGAAAACGATTTCATTAATATAAGTAGAATATGTCAATATCAAGAGGTTTACCTCTTATCTAGCTTCTCTGTGCTTCTACACGAGCTCTTGCCAAGAAAATTGCCTCCTCCTCTCTTTTCTCCCAAAAATCTATCCCCTTTTCATGTTTGGGGTTCTATTTTAGGGTTCAGGTTTTTAGACTCTCGCTCAAGCGAGAGTTCACGACTTTTCAAATTTCAAACTCTGATGATCTCGCTCAAGCGACCGAGCCTCGCCCAGGTGAGAATGATCCAGTCCCCTCTGCCCCCTCTCGCTTGAGCGAGTATACCCTCGCTCAGGCGAGAATCATTCAATCTCCTCAACTCTCCCTCGCTCAGGCGAGAATCCCAGAAAAATCCTGAGAGAAACTCTGAGCCCCTCGCTTGGGCGAGACCCTCTCGCTCAGGCGAGAATTGCACAATATTTCTTAGACCTTCTGAGTTTCACTATACTTAGAAAAATTAGAATTTAAGGTGTTACAAAATGGATAAGAATGTTATTATATAAGTTGAAGCTAAGCCAATATTCAATCATCTTTTTACAAAGTAGAACAATAATAATCATGTTTATTCTTTTATATATATATATATATATATATATATATATCTTTAATTTGCATCTTCTGGGTAAATGGTGGATGATTCCAAAATCACTTTTGAATTGTTATTTAACCAATGCCCCATTGCAACTTGCAAGAGTCATCTTACAAAATCTAGCTTTTCGAGATTCTCAAAAGGCTTTCTTTATTAACATATAATCTTGGTTACAATCTTGTGTGATTTAAGATATATGTTATAGTTACAATATTCACAACTAAGATATTGGCCATGCATACATTATAATATGTATTCTCTTTAAGTGTTAGTGGCAAATTAGTTATAGGATTTTTACACTATGAGCAACTTTGGAGGCATTCTGAAATTTTATTTAGCAATAGATATACTCATATTATTAGTTATAGGATTCTTGAGTTGCTTTGTAATTGTTTTAAATTACAGAAGACGTTAAGTGATGTGGTCGTGATATTTTAGTTGTGGTAATTTTTTGTTACCATATCAATTCTTAATTACAGTGTGACAATGAGTCATAATATATGTTTGCATCAAATTTAAAAACATTTTTTAATCATAAAAAAATTCAAATAATATATGTAAACTCAAATGTAATGTGACTGTGTGGAGACGCATAAAAACTTTAAAATAAATAAATATTAATTACATTGAAGCGCTAAATAAAAGTATGTATATATATATTTTTTAAATGTAAGGGTATTGAAGTCCATGAAAATAGCACTCAAGGCTTGACTCTCTTAAAAAAGTCCCAAGTGGTATCACCAACTTTCACGTCCCGATTGTCGGCTACGCGACCTCTTAGGAGTTGTCACTACGTTTTTTGCAGTTAAAATGTAGAAAACTCTACTTAATCCCAAATTGTATAAAATGGTCTTTGAATTAGAGATTTCGTGCTTGGAAATTGATTACGGATTGGGGAAAGTATTAACACATCGTCCGCTGATAATAAAATAGTACCCTAGCTAATTGCATGAATTAAATATCATTGATTTATTAAAATTAGATTATTCAAAACAATATTTATTTTTTACGTTTGTGTCTGACAAGAATTAATATTGCTCATATGTATCCATATATGCCTTAGAGAATCAAAATTATGTAGTTCTAGGTTTTAAAAATAATGATTGATAAATTTGTTTGATAAAAAATTGGTTGATTTATATTTATCCACTTTAAGAAGAGTGAAACATCAAAAACTAATGTCAGCAAAACATCTCATCTTAAAGAGATTTAAAAAATATTAAAAAACTTGTCCCTTTCGAAGGGGGTATAACAATAGAAGCTAATGTCTATATCTCATATTAAAGAGATTTTTAAAAAATATTAATAATTATTGTGAGCTTCAAGAAGAGTGAAGCAACCGAAGATAATATGCATAATGCATCCCATCTCAAAAATATATGAAAAATAGTAAACGATTATCCACCTCAAAAATGGGTAAAGTAGGTAAAGCAGCATAAACTAGTGTGATAATCAGCATATGAAACTGTAAGTGAATAATTACCCTCTAGAGTCAATAATGGCACAAAAGTAAGCCAATAAATCATTACCCAAATTCAACAAAAAAGAGAGTAAAGGAATGTGCAAATTATGCATGGATTTTGAGTAGGGGTGGCAATACGAGCCAACTCGACCCTGTTCGGCCCGCCTTTGGCCCACCAAAATATGGGTGGGCTAGCCCGACCCTTATTGCTAACAAGGCTCAACATGTCAGCCCGACCCATATTTGGCAAGGCTAACAAACCGATGGGCTGACCCTTTTTTTTATTTTCAAAAACTCATTTATAACCAACTCAATTACAATTTCAAAAATAAATAATCATAACGCCTCATAAATGTCTTTTAAAACAAAAATCACAAACTAAAGTCCACAATCTCATAATGATAAATCGTCTTGATTTAAAACTTGTAAGTTCTAAACAACTAGCCAACATGATCTTAAACTTTTAGACTCATAGTTCACAATAAACCTTCAAACTCCTAAGTTTTAAACATTAGATACTTTGTTGGAAGAATATGACTCTATTTTTCTATGCAAAAAATATTCTTTTGAGAAGGCTTATGTAAGGACCCAAATTCTACCCTTGAAATTTTTTCCTTATTTAATCCATTTATTCCTACATTCTTTACTATACCTTAACATATTCAGTATTCATTACATAAAATCTCGGTTATCATACTATAATACCCACTTCTTTACATGACAGAAAAACATAATTCGTATATTCCTTTCCCCGGTAAATACACACAACATAAAAAGGAGTAAGTCATCAAGACAATAAACACCATTGTAAGATAATCCACATTTTAAAGGGGTTAGTAAACCGTTTTAGAAATTCATTTTTGCTACATCACTTGAGCCAAAGTATCGCTACATAACTTGAGCCAAAGTATCGCTACATCACTTGAGCCAAAGTATCGCTACAAAACTTGAGCCAAAGTATCGCTACATAACTTGAGCCAAAGTATCGCTACATAACTTGAGCCAAAGTATTGCTACATAACTTGAGCCAAAGTATCGCTACATAACTTGAGCCAAAGTCGCTAACCAATCATGGTCGGCTAAAAAACGAGTTTTCTTTTCATTGATACTCCATCAATTCATAAACAGTAAAACCACTCCATTTTTATTACAAACATACCCATATATGTTTGTAATAAATAAATGGTTCACAACTTGATTCATTATGTGACACCCTAGATTCATATTTCCTAAGTTAGAGAATTAGCCCTAGAGGATAAGGCATACTGCCAGATTCTCGCTTGAGTGAGAGGTTCTCGCCCAAGCGAGAGGGTCAAAATTCCTCCCAATATTTTATCTGGGCATCTCGCCTGAGCGAGGGAAGGCTCGCTTGAGCGAGAGAGGCTCACCAGGGTGAGTGGAATACTGGGCTACACTGAAGGATTCTCGCCTGAGCGAGAGTTTCCTCGCTTGAGCGAGAATGGTGTAACACCCCAAATTTATCCTCCTTGAAATTAGGTAACAGTCTTGAAGAATGGGGCATACTGCCAGATTCTCGCTTGAGCAAGAGGATCTCGCCCAAGCGAGAGGATTAATGTTTTGAATTTGGAAATTCTAGGAGTCTCACCCAAGCGAGGAATGGGTCGCTTGAGCGAGAGAAAGCCTGAGCAGGCTGTGAGATTCTCGCTTGAGCGAGAGAGCCCGTGTCTGGAAAATTAAAATATCGTGGGTTTCTCGCCCAAGCGAGATATTCTCGCCTGGGCGAGAGTGCCCAACTATAAAAGTAAAGAGAGGGTTTCACAAACCCTAATCTTCACTTCCTTTTCTTCCCTTTCACTCCCAATGGCGACTCCCCATAGATTCCGACTCTTTCCTCCCCTAAACCTCAAAAACACATCAAAACCTCTTCCTCTTGCTTCTTAATGGAACATTGGAGAGCTTTGAAGATGAAAAAGCAACAATGGAGGTTGAAGGAGATGGAGGAAGATGGAGCTCTTTGCGGATCCAAGGAGCTTACGCAACCTAAGGTGAGGGAGAAGACCATTGTGGTCTTAGAGTACTTCATTAGAGCCATCATCTCCGATTTCCCTCAAGAATAGGAACATATTAACGGATAGAAACTCTCTTGGGAGTTTGTGATCCACGTGAGAGTCTTTATTTTACATGAGGATGTATTATCCATAAAAGTGGAAATATATGTGTGGGGAAAATCGTTTATTTAAGTAAAACACTATATGCTCATTTATAGTAATAGACCGTCATTAAAGATGGTTCTGACGTTAATGTGTATATGATGAAGGATATGTTATGCGTGGTTTGTTTATGATAATGGTTACATTGTGTGATAATGATGGCGTGTGAGTTATTTATGGTCATAAACATAAATGAGTATGTTGTGAGTGGTTGATTGGTATAAACATGTATGGGTGTGTTGTAACACCCCAAATTTTAGTCTTTAAAAATTAGAGTATCAGTCCTGGAAGCCTCGCTTGATCGAGAGATTCTCGCTTGAGCGAGAGAGGTTCATCTGGGAGGGTGAAATCTTGGGCTATACTGGAGGATTCTCGCATGAGCGAGAGTTGTATCGCCCGGGCGAGAAATGACAATTTTGGGCAGTGTAATCGATTACATGCTGATAAAAGCATCAGATATGTGCATTTTACATGATGTAATCGATTACACAATCCATGTAATCGATTACATGCTGATAAAAGCATCAGATATGTGCATTTTACACGATGTAATCGATTACACAATCCATGTAATCGATTACATATATGCGCTGAGCGAAAATTGCTCACTGTGAGATTCTCGCTTGAGCGAGAATGGACTCGCTTGATATTCATTGCATATAATGGATGAATTCAAATTCATCTATTATTAAAGTTTCCAATTGGATTATATTCATTTTAATCTATTAGCTCTAATGAATTTATTTGGATGAATTTATTTTTCTTATATTGGATGAATGTGGATAATTTTGTCTCCTTTAGTTATAATTGTTGTTTAATTCACTATGTTTTTGGTGTCACCAACCCGTTTTCTCTAGGGGTGGCAAAACGGGCCCAGTCCAGCCCGCCTTTGGCCCGCCAAAATATGAGCTAAGTTGGCCCGACCCTTATTGCTAAAAGGGCTTAAAATGTCAGCCCGTCCCATATTTAGCAGGGCTGGCAGGCCAACAGATTGGCCCATTTTTCTTTTCTTTTTCAAAAACACATTTAAATTACACTGATATTCCACGAGTTTTTAGTGAAATTACACGAATTATTCTTCCATTTTCTACACTTACAAAAAACCTTTAATTTATAAACATACATTACATTGATCAACCATGTATGAGAGGTGTAATTTTTTAAACAAAATAGTGATAAATGTAATTAAGTTAAACAAAATATGATATATGGTATAAATTAAACACTGATATATAAATATCTTGTATTATATATGATATAAATTACATTGATAAATAATTTAC